CGATGAACAGGTAACTGCTTGCCAGTTTTGCGGCCGCAGGCACCAAAAGAAGAAGGAGAGTTGTCCAGCGTGGGGTCGGACGTGCATGAAGTGCTCCAAGAAAGGTCACTTTGCTCGTTGCTGTAGATCATACAGAGTGAGTTCGGTTGCCGACGATGCCAGAGAACGGGAACAAGAATTGTTAATTAACAACATGGATGGCCGGGCGAAAAGCAAGTGTGTGTTTGCAACACTTTTGGTTCGAGGACAACCGGTACGTTTTCAGCTAGACTCCGGGGCTGCGGTTAACATCTTACCTGAAAAATACTGCAAGGGCGTGCGATGTGAAGAAACTCAAAAGTGTCTCAAAATGTGGAACGGCTCAAGGTTACAACCGAAGGGTATCGTCATTTTGGAGACGGTCAATCCAAAGGAAGGAACAGAGCACCCGCTGGAGTTCCTGATTGTTTCGGAAGACCTTATGCCCATTCTGGGCATTGATTCTATCCAGCGTTTTGGTTTCGTTTCTTTTAACCACGAACGTTTTGTTCATGCGTGTGACATCGAGGCAGATATTTTTGATAAGTACTCGAGTGTGTTTGATGGCGGAGTAGGGATGTTCGAGGGGCCCGCTCACTTATCGTTAAACGAGCTAGCAACACCGGTGGCGTTACCAGCTAGGAAGGTGCCAATTGCTTTGCGCGAAAAATTCTTGAGTGAGTTGCAACGTCTCTGTAGTCTGGGAGTGATAGCTAAAGTTGACGAACCGACTGATTGGGTCAGCCAGGTGGCGATTATTACAAAAAAGTCAGGCGAGCTGCGTATATGCATTGACCCGAAACCGCTTAATGCCGCACTCAAGAGAGAGTATTTTACGTTACCGACACTAGACGACATGCTGCCGGTGTTATGCAATTCTAAAGTGTTTACGAAAGTCGACCTCGCCTCTGCGTTCTGGCACGTATCACTAGATGATGAGTCAAGCTACATGACAACTTTCGGAACACCATTCGGGCGGTACCGTTGGCTTCGTTTACCGTTTGGACTGAAAGTGTCTAGCGAAATCTTCCAGAAGCGACTAATGCAAGTGTTGGACGATCTACAGGGAGTATTCTGCGTAGCGGACGATGTGTTGGTTTTTGGCGCTACTCGTGAAGAGCACGATCAGAACCTTCGTAGCTTTTTACAACGTTGTGTTGAAAGAAACATCAAACTGAAACGTGAAAAGATCGAACTACGCAGTACAGAGGTTATATTTCATGGGCATGTGTTAAGCGCGGAAGGGCTAAAACCAGACCCTGAGAAAGTAAGAGCTATAAGAGATATGCCGTCCCCCACAGATGTGAAAGCGGTTGGCAGGCTAAATGGGATGATCAATTATCTGAGCCGGTTCCTGCCCAAGTTAGCTGATGTTATGACACCGATCAGGAAGTTGACTCATAAGGGCGAAAGCTGGCACTGGGGTGCAGAACAAGAAGAGGCCTTCCAGGCAATCAAGGAACTCATCACTAACGCACCTGTTCTCGCCTACTATAATCCGCAACTCTCCCTCGAGATTCAATGCGACAGCAGTCAATTTGGTATCGGGGCCGTACTCATGCAGAATGGGAAACCCATCGATTTTCGCAGTAGGACGTTGACAGAGACCGAGCGTCGTTACGCCCAGATAGAAAAAGAGATGCTTGCAGTGGTTTACGCCGTCGAACGTTTTAATGACTATACATTTGGCCGGAAGACTACAGTGTTTACAGATCACAAACCGTTGGTTTCCATCGCCAACAAGCCGCTACATGTTGTTCCCCGCCGCTTACAGAGAATGCTTATTCGCCTTCAAAAGTACGACCTAGAGATTGTGTATCGACCTGGTCCCGAAATGCATATCGCAGACACGTTATCCAGGGCGTATCTGTCAGACACACCAGAGGAAGACGAAGATTCAGATTTCGTTCATGCAGCACAACTAGTAGCTGTTACCGAGGAACGATTGAAACAGCTCCAGCAGTGCACAGAGGAAGATGAGTTATGCAAGCTACTAAGGCAGACAATACTAAGTGGCTGGCCCAAGAACAAGAAAGATCTACCAGGAGTGCTGACCCCGTTTTTCCATTTTCGTGATGAACTCATTGTCCAAGACGGATTGATATTCAAAGGCAATAGGATACTAATCCCCAAAGCGTTGCAGCGCGCGATGACAGAGCTTGTCCATTATGCACATTTGGGAGTCAACAATTGTGTGGCCAGAGCGCGAGAGCTAATGTTTTGGCCGGGAATGACCAGCCAAATACGAGATTACGTCTCAAATTGTCTGGCATGCCGAACACACGACGTACGTCAGTCAAAAGAACCGATGATGCTCCGTGACGTTCCGGACAGGCCCTGGCAGATGGTTGCAGTAGACATCTTCATCCACGATGGAAAAAGTTACTTAGTGTTGGTTGATTATTTCAGTGACTACTTTGAAATCGATGCTCTAGCTACGACCAGTACAGACGCAGTGGTGAATAAGCTACGATGTCAATTTGCTCGTCACGGAATACCTGAGGTAGTAGTCTCGGACAACGGGCCGCAGTTCGTTAGCGCAGAGTTCCGAGAGTTCAGCAGAAAGTGGGATTTCCATCACCGGCTTACTAGCCCATATCACAGCCAATCAAATGGAAAGGCCGAGTCGGCGGTAAAAGAAGCAAAGAAGGTGCTTACCAAAGCTAAGGAGACTCATGAGGACCCTTATATTATGTTGCTGGAACGCAGAAACACGCCATCAACAGAAATTGGGGCAAGTCCGGTGCAGCGACTCTTCAGCCGGAGGACAAGAACGTTGATACCAACTGCGTCAAATCTGCTAACACCTGAAGTATCACCAACGACCTCGATACACGAGCGGTTACGAAACAGAATGCTTAGGCAAAAGAGATACTACGATCGCGGGGCGAGAAAACTCCAACCTCTAGCATTGGGAGAAGAAGTGTGGGTGCAACCAGTACCAGGATCAGAGGGACACTGGAGGAAGGGAGTTATTCAGAGCCGCAAGGGAGAGAGAAGCTACGAAGTGAAGGTTGGGGACACTACAATTAAGCGGAACCGAGTACAGGTCCGGAAAGCAGGTTGTACGCGTGTTACCCAGATGGAAAACGGACAACTGCAGCCAAGACAGATACGCGTCACCCCTGCAGAAGGAAGGAAACTCACACGAAGCGGAAAGCAGTATGGGACATACTGCGGCGCAATCCTAACAAAACAAAAGGAAAAGGATGTAACGGGGTTTAGGAAACCGGTCCAGTATGCTCGACCTTACCACCTAAGCGCAGGTTACCGGAGTCAGCAGATCAGTTCGATCGAGAGAACGCGTGAACCCACCGGGAGACACAGCGATGGCGGGACAGCGAATCACGAGTGGCACACGTATCCAGAAACCGACAAACCGGATTGGACAATAGAACATAGAGGGCGCACTGACAACTCGAGAATCGCTATTAACGGCAAGTTTCAGAGTGCAAAGCCAAATATGAGCGGTCCAAAGAAATACGGCCAATCAGATGCCAAGCACGAAAGATGTGATCATTGCGCGAGACAGGAAGACAGCGACCGAAGAGGAATAGTATAACCCAATGAAATAAAAGGGGAACGCGACCAATGAGGTGAACCGAAAAACAGAAGACCCACTGAGAAGGCTCGAAGATTAACAGTGTTTATTTCTTTTAAATAAGCTACCCTATACTGAATAAACGCCTGTTTTCCGCCCGCCGCCATCGTGACTTTTTGATCGTGTCCGTGTCACATAACACCGTGCACCGTCGGTTCCAGAGAATTTTCGCAGCCAAGCATCATTATGATGCAAGCAGCCCATTCTCCGAAGTGCGAGGTACTATCGTATCCGTAAGAGAATATATTTACCATCAGGTTGATCGCCTATGCGAGAACTAAAACAGAGGTGGATGAGTCCATCTTGGTCTATTGCAACAAGACGCAGCTATTGTTTCTCTTATAAACTGCTTACTCCTACAATACAAGCCGAGGAGTTTAAACAGCTACCGGTTAATATTGTTGGTTAACATATATATCTCTTACCTGTACCAAACTTTGAGAAGAATTTTTATGACGAATTTAGAGCAGCTGCCGTAGAACAATCGAATGCTCTCTACGTATCTTCGCCGGAGATTCCAACAGATTGAATGCTACTTATCTCACCGCAATCGGGTTACGCAACATAGTACATTTGACAGCCAGATTAGTTGCGACCCCAGACCTAGTGTTCGTTAATACTGTGAAGTGATTCGCTGTATGCAAGCGCTAACAGATTGACAGTTCCAATCACTCAACAAGATGGATATCTCCTGTCACTTATAACAAGAAAAATCATCAATATATTACTAGCTGCAATGATCGAAGGTTCAGAATGAGGCAGTGCTCTTCACAAAGTATAGACCGAATTAATGATAGGGTTGAGACTACAGAATTTACTTTATCCTTTGACCTCGACGTACCCAAGTATTGTGACAATTTGACAAGCTATCTAAATTGCTGTTTTGACATTTGCCGCCCCTGAGGAACGGGTCCTTCTTTCCCCATCCAAAGCGGCTGCACCAAAGTAATAAGAAAGCATTAAAAGAAAAAGACGGCACCTCAGTGAGGTCCCTCATTGTTCGTATCAAGGAGGAGTTACGTCGTTTTAACCAAGTGTATATCCGGTCTGTATTTGGAGACAGTAGCTGTCGTGAATTCTGGAAGATGCCGAAACAGCGTAGTGGAGTTAATCGACGTGGGTGTAGAGAAATGGAACAAAATTATGTAACTGCCTACTGAGTTTAGATTTTTGGTTTCGCAGTTGGACTGGGCACCAAGCGAAATGGACCGTAGGGAACAATACCGCAGGCGAAGCAGTACAACAGTAGTAACTGGGGCAGCTGATTAGAAATGGAGAGGGGGGGAGAGAAACGAATAGAACCAGGACTGGCTGCAGAGAAGGTACAGCTCCTCCGCTGAAGTACTTAAACGGTAAAATGAAACCAAACGACGTTACTTACTGTAGCGCGCTTGTCTGCTTTCACGGGCACAATATCCATCCCAGAAAAGGACGGCTGAGAGTGTTCGGCAGAATTCTCTTTTTCCGGAGGAGTGGCTATTAACTAAAAGAAGTAAGAAGAGGATGTGTTCGAGCGGATAAGAAAAAAGACATGTTGTGCTGAGAGGTTGGCTCGGCTACGGTCAATAATTTAAAAACTGATTGAAGGCCGAACACATGGTCCGAAATTGGACTTGTATCCCAACGTGATCCCGTCGTTTCAGATAGAAAGTGAAAGAAAAAATTAATACGACACAGTCCTTAGTAAAAGGTTACATTTTCTTTAGAGCAAATCATACGACGAAAACAAGTAAACAGGCGGTTGGGAGCGAGGACGCTATTAGTGGAGCGTAACTCAGAAAAAGTGTAGGAGAAAAGTTTAGGGACGAAAAATTGTGCGCTGGTCAACCGGACAAAATAGATCAAAATGGGTGCTTTACGACAAGCGTGTATTCGGCACATGTGTGCAGCGAAAAGGACGTGAATGAGAAGAGGGAGGTGATTCGACATTGGTGTAGCAAATAGGAAGAGGAAGTAGCGTGAGAAATGATCGCATGAGGAGCCACACAATAAGGAGGTCATCGAGGTGTACGGAAGGAATGACGGTGATTGAGAAGAGAAGCATAAAAGGACGGAAGGCAAGGAGGCTTCAACAGTAAACATCACCTTCATTGTCGACAGTGGTGCCAAAATGACTGACATCCGACGGCTCAGCTGAAAGTGAATCCGAAGTACACGGAATGGACGACAAAATAACATAGTCGAGAGTAGATTAGAAATCAGTGAATATTGAGGCGCTGTGAAAAACCAATAGATAAACAGCAAGGGGTGGATGTGTTGTGGATACAGGCAAGTGATACAATATATCTGCTGCAATATCACACAGGCGCAATAATAACGAGAGGATGAAAAGTAGGGAGCCCAGAGTGAACGAAGCGATGAAATAGTGGAGGATTGTCGGAGCACTTTCTCAGTGTACCTAAACACGCCACAGGGATTGTATTATAGATCAAAATGGGTGCTTTACGACAAGCGTGTATTCGGCACATGTGTGCAGCGAAAAGGACGTGAATGAGAAGAGGGAGGTGATTCGACATTGGTGTAGCAAATAGGAAGAGGAAGTAGCGTGAGAAATGATCGCATGAGGAGCCACACAATAAGGAGGTCATCGAGGTGTACGGAAGGAATGACGGTGATTGAGAAGAGAAGCATAAAAGGACGGAAGGCAAGGAGGCTTCAACAGTAAACATCACCTTCATTGTCGACAGTGGTGCCAAAATGACTGACATCCGACGGCTCAGCTGAAAGTGAATCCGAAGTACACGGAATGGACGACAAAATAACATAGTCGAGAGTAGATTAGAAATCAGTGAATATTGAGGCGCTGTGAAAAACCAATAGATAAACAGCAAGGGGTGGATGTGTTGTGGATACAGGCAAGTGATACAATATATCTGCTGCAATATCACACAGGCGCAATAATAACGAGAGGATGAAAAGTAGGGAGCCCAGAGTGAACGAAGCGATGAAATAGTGGAGGATTGTCGGAGCACTTTCTCAGTGTACCTAAACACGCCACAGGGATGTTTATTGCATACAAATGACGTCCAAAGTAACTACAAAAATACAATGAAGGGAAAAGGATAAACTCCCCGGAAAGTGAGCAATTAGAGGAAGTGGTATCATCAGCGGTACGCCGTCACATTGTACCGACAATTCTGTGCCCCACGTGTAAGTTCGGTACACCGCGAAGTCGCCAGCACATACGCACATTCGAACCAATGACCCTCGGATTACTAGGCAGACGTCGTATCATTTCGGTTAACGGACGAATAACTTCAAGTGTCAGCTTTCTCAGTGAAGGAAAACGAAGAAATGAAGGTCGAGTAATGCGGTCGTTGATAGTAAATGCGCGCGGAACAGATATCATTGTTGTAGTAAGATATAATACTTTGTTTATTCCTGAAAGGACACGATCCATCGCAGATTTTAAATGGTAACATTGCACGATGGGCTGGTTAACTGAGCAGTGGATTTATACGGGTTAAGAAGCATTGCTTTACAAGTCCTACTGGATAGCTGGTGGGGATATAGTATTAACAGTAATGATGCTAATAATAATAATAATAATAGTAAAACAGTTAGTACGTTAAACCTGAAAATAAGGACTTATCGTTCACTGGGCTGTTATTCGGCATTCCGCTTAGATTCACAGCACCCACATGTAACATTAAATAAATCCATGGTGTAGGTTAGAGACGTAGGGTTTAGTGACAGTGTGTATGTGGATGAGTGCGTCATCCAACCGTCTTTGAAATACCGTCAGTGTCGGTGCAGAGACGACCTATTCTGGGAAAACATTCCACGGGTGACAGACACGAATAGAATAGAAATTGCTGCAGCACTCCAGGCGGCTATACCGTTCTGCGAGTTTCAATGGGTTGTATTGGTGCTGAGTCACAGTAAAGGGCGGCACACATGATGTGGGTCTCGCAGAATCAAGTATGCCATAATCAGGTCGCCTCGTATTCTGCGATAGCTTCCGCTGAATACCCCCAATCGTTGCAGCCTCACTTGGTATGAAAGACTGCGCATTCAAATTACATTCTTAGATACCCGACATTGTGGCTGCTCCAGTGCATTAAGGTCGTGTTTCAGCCATGGATGCCAGCCTTGAATTGTGTATTCGAGCACTGAGCATTTGTCGAAATATGGAGCCGTTTACTTGTTCAAAAGCCCGTCGCAACAGCCCGACGTGTTGGTTTCCAGTCTTCGAGGAGTTTTCGGATTGGCTACAGGAACCCAAGTCATCTTGAACCAGGACACCCAAGTCACATTTGACAGTTGATTGTTGCAGTATATTCGTTCCGAGCCGGTATGAGTAGCTGCTCTGATGTCGGATGGAAACTACCTTGCATGTACTCACGTTTTTGGTTGACCATTGATATTTCATAGCTAGGTCACGCTGAAGCAGATGCTGGTCGACCTTCACCTGGATTCTGCGCCAAATCTTGATATTGTCGGCAAACATTAGGACGTTTGAAACGATTCCCTGTGCAAGGTCATTAATAAACACCCAAAACAAATATGGACCAAGAAATGAACCTTGCGGCACACCACACTCGACTTGTATGAGGTCCGATAACGAGCTCCGACCAATAATTGCCGTTGAATTAGAAAGTTGGCAGTGGATCTTAAAAGAGGGTTGCCGATCCCGTAATGCTAGAGGTTGGAGAGTAGTATCCGATGGTCTAGACGATCGGAAGCCTTCGAGAAATCCAGGTACATCACAACAACGCCTTCTCCAGCGTCAGCTGACTCGGTGCAACTACTGCGCGCAATTAGTAAATTCGTTGGTCATGAGCGCTGTCGACGGAAGCCACGCTGCTCAGGTGTGATGATGTTACAGTTTTCCAGATAACACACCAGTGCATCGGCAATTATGGATTCAATGACCTTGGAAGGTATAAGAAGAAGGATACTGGGCGGTAGTTGGAGGGATCAGTACTGCTTCTACCTTTGTGAATCGGGGTTATTATTCCAACCTTCCACATAGCGGGAACTTGGTTCTGGTTTAAACAGCGCTGGAAAATCTGAGCTATAGGTCTTGACAGTTGGCTTACTGCTGCTTCCATTGCCTCTGGACAAATGGTATTGACACCCGGCAAGCTGTGATTGTGTAGAGACGTCATCTTTTGCAAAACAGCTTAAGTGGTAAAAGTGATGTGGGTGAGTCCTGGCGGAGAGACGACAACGTTTGGAAGTTCGCTAGGTGACAAGACCCGCTGAAACGTGAGAGCATATTACATCCACAGCGGTTTTCTGCTTCCACAGCCGTTCTTGTTGGGCGATCAGCCGCCCTGATTGGACGAAATCCTTGCCTCACTTTTCGCAGGTTATTGACGTGTTTGTACAGCAGTTTGTGGTTAGCACTGAAGGTTTTTGCGATGTTCTGTTAATAAACGGCTTTGTTTTCTCTGAGCAATTGAGTGCAGTGGTTACGTTGGGCTACGTGGTTGTCCCAAGTTACTGGTGTTGGAGCTTCTCTGTACATTCGCCATGCTGCCTTTCTTACTGTCATCCATTTTCGAGTTCTGCTCCCAACGAAAGAAACTGATGTACACTTATTGCAAACTCTTACCTCTGAAGCCTCTGCAATCAGCTGACTGAATTTGTTGATGAACTCGAGCCAGGCGACTTCCGGGGGTTATCCATCGAGGAACGATCAAGTTTAGCGCTGACAAGCTTGGCTAATCGATCGTAGCTTGTGATGGTTCACACAGTCTCATCATTTTCATTCAGATATTCCGCATGGCAGACGAAGTTGAAACTGATCACTGCGACCCAACGGGCAGTCTACAACCAACACATCAATCATGTGCTCCTCGTTGGTAAGCACAAGATCCAGCACAGATGGCCTGTTACCTGTTCTGAATCGAGTGGGCAAAGTGATGTGATTGTAAAGAGGAACATTGGTTGCGAAATCTTGTAGATCGGCTTTGAATTGTTCTCCGATCGTAGCAGGACTTTCTACATAATGTACATTGAAATCATCCATGATAAGTATGTGAGTGTACTTTTGCTGTAAACTACGTTTTAAAGCAGCCGCTAGATGGTAGTCGGTTTTGGTGTAGATTTAGAGGGGCGGTGCACCAAGACAGTAAGCCAAAAGTCCCCGCCTTTTAACTGCAAACGGCACCAAAGAGAGTCAGGGAACTGCGAGTCTGAATCCGCCGAGGCTTCGCATTGTAAGTCGCTTCGGTAATACAGAATTATCTACAGTCCTTTGGTGAGTCTATCGTTCCGGATCAGCGACATGCCAGGTAGCGAAACTTCAGCGTCCGTCATTCCCGTGTGCAACCACGTCTCAGTGATACCGATGACATCATATGACCCGGAAGCTTGGCGATCTTTCAGTTCGGCCAGTTTATTAAAAAGACCCTGAGCATTAGTATACAAGCAGGCCAGTTTCTCGGTCTCTAGGAGCCCACAGAGGGGTGAAGGAGTCAAGTGTGGGAGAATGCCGACCGATGGGAGGTCGACAGCTACTCGTTTTTATGATGG